TTTTTTTTTTAAATTGTTGTTAATTAATTATGATGACCAACTTGCTTCTATATAAATATATCAGGAGACTTGGATTTATTAAATCTAATTATAATCCAACAAGACTTGTACAAGTGTGGAATCTCTTTACAGCTATGAGTTCGAGTTAATATCATCCCATGACAAATATTTTATTGAAAATTTTATTTAATCTAATATTATTATTTATTTTTAAAAATTAATTAAAAATTTTGATTTATTTATTAATTGCAATAATGTCCATCGACAAATTAACTAGCCTAGTAGAGAAAAGAATTATCAATGAAGTATTTTTTAGTAAAATCTATACTAATTAGTCCTTTCATCGTGCTACATTCCTCATGTACTTTTTGAATAAATAATTTTCATTATTAAATTCAATTTATGTAATGTATTTAACCTATGTAATACTAATTCATGATATCCAATCCTATTAAACTTTAAAAAATATTTTTCTTTAAAACACTAATATATAATATTAATATAAATAATATAATTCTAAAACACTTTTTAGGAAACATTTAGTTGAATTTTTTGAATCCGATTATTTTATGAAAAATTGATTGAATACATTTTTTAATAGAAAATAGTGAATCATTTATTGAGCATCCAATATAATTTACTCAATATACACATAACTCAATATATCAAGTGTAACCTTTAAATTCAACATCATCTGTTAATGATATCAAAGTCATGTAGATACTAAATAAATTATATTGACTTTACAAGTCTAAGAACAATTAAAATATTGTAATAAAACCCTTTTTAATTATTGATAGTAATTTATTTATATGGCACTCTTTAAGTGTTCAATGCATGTATCTCATACATTACATTCACTTGTTTACTTTTAGAGAGTCAACTGATGATTGATACATAATTAGAGTATACTTTAAATAATATGTAATGTTTAACTTAGAAAAATTTTGACAAATAAACATGTGAAAAGAATCATAATCCAAAGAATTAATGGCTGCTAGCTAGAGAAACAATTTGGATGGAATAAAACAGCCTGTTATCTTTTGTTTATCTAAATCAAGCTTTTATCAATCACAAACAAAGCTTGGGTGTGTCGGTTTAGTATGCTGTCCTTAAGGCAGAGGTGAAGAAATGATCTTATACTACACGATTAAGAAAGTAACAGGCATAATCATTATCTCCTGAATTCCCTTGCGCTTTTCTCTTTATTTGATCTACTTATGACACTGTTTCTGGGTATTTTATTGCAACTTGCAGGTCTTTTTAGCAGTAATGGAATAGTCTCAGATTTAGTTGTTTAGGTTTCAAATCAATACTAGACAACTTTAGGCATGTTCAGTCTGGCAGTGCTCTAATCTTAAAGGAAGTAAATATGTTTTTTTGGAAGAGAAAAGAAAGCCCTGATTTGAAGCAATGGATATATGCCATACATGATCAAAGTGAAAGTGAAAAGAGAGTTGAAAAAGAAAGCCACAGA